TCTGTGACTGTCACCCTCTGCACTGTAAGCTCTTCTCCGTGTGGGTGCCTGCATGCCTGGCCGAGAACAGATGCCTGGTGGACATATGTTTGTTGAATGTGTGAATGAAGGGAGGGCAGGCACTCACAGGTCAGTGGGGATGGGGTACCGTTCCCACTCCTTCACGGGCAGCACGAAATAGGGGACCCGAGGCACCAAGCCTGTCTTGTCTCGATAGTAATTCCGATGCTGCTGTGCCATCTACAGTTCGACCAAAGAAGAGGTGACAGGTCCTTAGTGTGCAGCAGTGACCTCGGGCACCTTGCAGTCCCTGCCTGGCTGTACCCGGGCAGGGGGTGGGGGCCGTCTCCCCTAATGCTCCTGGAGGAGGTCCCCAGCTGGGTGTCCTCTCTGAGTCTCACTTTCCATCTGCCTAATGGGATAATGACACCCACCACACCAGGTTTGCTATGGAGAGTAAATGAGACAAGGGACCAGAAAAGGTAAGGTAAGTGGGGCCAGCTCAGCAGGAGGCACAGGCAAGCTCTCTGGGCTCCCTTCTCATTTTGCTCACTCCTAGACTGGGCACGCTCTGTGTTAGAGCCAAAATGGAGGGCAAAGGCCTTCCCAGGCCCACTGAGACAGTGCCACCGCCCCTGGGGTCCAAAAGCATCAACTTGGTCCTCACCCTGGGGAGGCTGCATTCTCATACAGTTCTCCACCCTGGGGACCGGGAGGCACCTGTGTCCTTGAAATCAGGCGGGAGGGATGTTTGCAAGGGAGGTGAGGGAGAGAGTGAGGTTTCCAGGAACAAGCAAAGAATGAGCTCCTGCCCTCTCTAAGGTAGCTGAGTACCTGTGCGCCCATGGCCCACTGGGACGTGTCTGAACCAAAGCCAGAGGCGGCTTTAAGAGCCAGAGGAACAGGACAAGAACACTGGGCTGTGGGCAGGTCCCCTCCATTTGCCTCTACTCTCGAGGGCTGTTAGGGTCCTGTCTGAAGCTGAGGTCGACTTGGGGCACATCCTCAGAGGCCTATGGAGCAGGAAGTGTCGGGTAAATGAGTACGGTTGAGAGCAGACTTGGGGCAGGAGCCAGGTGGGGGCCTAGTGGGCCTTTGCGCATGTGTGGTTGATCATGGGCATGAAGCTTCGGCCTTTTACTCGGGCAGGGGGTAAGCAAAGGTCCACAGGGCCAAGAGGCCTTAGGGCAGAGGCAAGGGTGGGAACACACCCACAGGCTCCAGCTCTCCCCGCAGTGCGGGGAGCAGGGACAAGTCGCTGGAGCCCTTGGGTGAGGGGAGATTAGGGAAGCAGAATCCTGAGTCCTCCCCCCACCGCCCCTAGCCAAACTCACCGGGTGCCCTGCTGGCTCAGGGGCTCTGAATGAGCAAATGGAGGTGCTCTGGAGGGTAAGAGATCTCCCCTGGCCCCAGCCACCACCCCTCCCCATGGTCGGGGGAAGGGAGCCCACCTGGTAGAAGCGGGAGAAGTCGGTAGAGCGGCCACTGTCCAGGTTGAAGCGGGTGTAGCTGGGGACGTGCAGCCAGCGGTCCCTGGTGCGGGAACGGTCACTGAGCACAAGGTTGGGGTTCGGGGAGAAGATGGTCGGGAAGTGGCCGCCTCTGCTGAGGGCAGTGCGGCTCCTCTCCAGGCCTGCATTGCGGTGGTCCTGGAAGTACTTGAGGGTGGCGGTGCCGTACGGGGAGCCGAAGGAGAAAGCCACACCGGGAACGTGGCCTTGGTACCTGTGGTGGCCGTAGGGGAGGAAAGGGCTCCAGGTCAGTCCCACTGGAGGCCCTTGAAACCTGGGGGCGAGGTCAGTGGGCCTTGTGGGCCACCTCTGGGCCTTGAGAGGCTTCCTAAGGCACACGGCCCGGCTCGGGTCTCTGGCGAAGTACACGTGAAGGAGACGCTGGGTGTCTCCCTCCCCTAAACCTCTCAAATGGTCACGTCTCCAGACCAGAGGCTTTCACAGGGGCCAGAACACCAGGGCTCGGGCCTGACCCCCTCAGCAAGGCTGTAAGCGAATCACTCTCCCTCGATGGCCCTCCATGTACACAGGGGTTGGCCTGAAGGCGCAGAGGCCTCCTGCAGCTCCGAGCTTCTGCAGTTATTTCATTAAGAGGCAGAGAGTGTATAGGCAGTGGAGGCTCAGCAGCGGCACGTGGTGAGTGTCCGAGGCCTGGTCTGGAATGCCGCAGCCTTGCTCCGGCACCACGACCTCACAAGGCACCACCCAGACGGCCTGCAGAGCTTGACGAGGGTCTGGAGCGCCAGCGCCCTCTGTAACCAAGGTGGCCAGTAAGAGGGACCGGAGACTGGCAAGTGGGGACTCTTGGAGACACAGAGAGCACAAGCAGACACAGTATTCTCAAGGCCCCCGGTTAAGTGGGACTCACACAGAGAGCCAAAGACTCGTTTAGGCAAAGCAAGGGAAAAGTCTCGGCTTTGACGAGCGCCAGCGTCCGACAGAGATCCAAGCTTTTCCTGTCAGCACAGCCCGAGGGCTTCCCTTTGCTCCCCACCCCCTGGAAGCTGGCCGTGCTCCTCGTGCTACCATTGAAATGGCTCTTGACAAGGTCACCAGCGACTTTCCTACAGCACTGGACACGGTCGACCGCCTTCTCTCTTCTCGAAGCACCACTCTTGGTATTTATCGTACTGTTATCTCGTTTTTCCTGTTGGTTTTCACCTATATCTCTGACTGTTCCTTGGTCCCCTCCTCATGATGCTCCTCCTCTGCCCATGTCCTCTGTACCACTGAGCTTCCCTGAGACGGGGCATCCGTGCTGGGGCCTTAACCTTCACCTGTGTGCAGATGACCCCTGATCTACATCTCCAGTCCAGAAGTTCCCTCCAAGCTTCAGACTTCTGGAGACAGTTGCACCCAAGACATCTCCCTTGGGTGTTCCCTGGGCACCATCCTCCACCCCCACTTTCCCCAAGAGTCTAGTCCATCTCGTTGAAGACCACCTCCCAGGTGTGCAAGCCGGAAGCTTGGGCACCCATCTCCCTCCGCTGCGTCCCTCACATCCGATCAGCCGCCGGGCCCTGCGGCTCCACCTCCCTGACCTGAGCTCAGGCCACGTGGCCTCGCACCTGGACTGTGGCAGCAGCTTCCAAACTGTGCTCCAACCTCCCACCCACTTCCAGATTTCAACTGGACCGAGCTTTCTAAAGTCAAGTCCTTAGCATGGAGGTCAAGGCCGTCTGTGATCTGACCCTTGCCTCCCTCTCCGGCGTCATCAGCTTCCCTCCGTCCCACCTAGTTCTCTACGTGTAACTGCTTCCCCGCCCCGCTTCTTCCCTCTCTGTTTCTCCCTCCCCTCACCCCTGGGTTTTTGCCTTCTGCCATCAGGAGAGCGAAACCTGTCCACACCCCAAGCCCCTGCTCCTTGCCTCCCAGCACTAAATGGTCCTCTAAGACCTGCCCAAGTATCACTTCTTTGAAGAAGCCTTTCCTTGCTGCCTCTTCTAGGCCCAGGTGGGTCTCAGTTCCCGCTGCCCCTCCTCCGGCCACGTCTCACTAGGTACTGCTTCATCTGCTCACAGCTTTGTCTCCTCTGCGGGACTGAAAGTTCCTTGAGGGCAGAGTCTGATCACGTCTTACTCATCTTTGGATCCCCTGTTCTCAGTACTGGGTCTGGCACTTGGTATGTGGGTGGGTAATGTTTATTAAACAAAGAAAAGGGTGAATGGCTGACGGGCCCACAGTACCAGTGATGTTTACAGTTGGACCTACACATATCGACACCCGAAGACCGGGGGCCACGCTCCAGGGACTTCCAGAACACCTCTTAAGATCGCCCTGCTGTGATGCTTCATGTCTTACTTTCTCTCAGTTCAAAACACTCCCAGGAAAGCTCCAGGAAGTGCGGGGAGCTTCCGGCCACTGCAAGGTCCTGGGCTAGAGAACACAGAGGTGTTTGAAGTCAGTGCTTCCTGTGAGGTCTCAGTCTCCTCACCAAGAGAAGGCGCGTTGGCCTAGAATTCATAACAGTGCATGATTTCCTTCTTTTCGTCTCCAGGTGCAAGGCAAGAAAGCGAAGCGCGGTGATTACTGATGAACCTTCCAAATGCTCTCTACAGAGTCCCTCCCTGGTGCCTGGTCCCACCCGCCCTCAGCAACTGTGCCTTTCAGGAATCCTACAGCGCTTGAAGTAGCCTAAGCCAGCAGACGGAGGAGGGGAGAGCCCCTCCACCAGACTCAGGCCCTCCTCCAGCCTCACCTCTCCTGTCCCTTGGTATCTCTGCTCTTGATACTGACCCTGGTCCTAGCCCTATTCTACCTGCTTCTACCCTTCTGCTGGCTCCTCCCAAGTTCCCTGCTGGTGGTATTATGTCTCCTGCCCTGGAAAGATGGTGGGGCTGGTGAGTGCCTGTGCGTCTGTGGGGTCACCTTGGCCACTTCCAGGACAGAGTCCTCCTCTTTGTCGTGGCTTGCCCTATCCTGAGTCTGGCATTACCCACCTTCCACCACCCCCCACTCACCCAAGGCTTCTCTGCCCCAATCCATCCCTCCCTGTGTCTCTCAGCCTCCATCCTTCGTCTTGGCCACCTGTTATCTCTCCTTCTCTCTCGGCTTCTCCCCTTCTACCTATACACATCGACTTTTTTTTTTTTTTTTGTATTTTTTCCCAGACTGCAAAATTCTGTAGTAAGCCTTGCTTCTTTCTCATGTACCATTCTTTCTCTTCCCTTATTTCTGCGTTTCTCTGAGGAATCCTCCTTACTTTCTCCTTTATTTCTTCCACGCCTACTCTTTCCATGACCTCCCTCAGTCTGACTTCCAACTCACCACCAAAATGAGAACCTGCATTTTTTCATTAAGGCCACATAAGGTCATCCGATTGCCAAATCTAACGTCCTTTGCTCACGCTGTCTCTGTCACATTTGCACTGATGAAGGAACTCATTTGAAAGAAAGATAACTTGAGAAGAAGAAGCAGAGTTCCTGAGAGTTCTTTGTGCTGCGTTTGAGACTTAACAAAAATATGAGTTCGGTCAATCCAGGAACCAAAGCCAAGAGGTAGGTAGGGGGATGCTTCTCCGTCCTGACGAGTCCATCCATGAGGAGGGCTCCCCACAGAAGCATCTCCATCCCCCACTCGCTCTTCCACATGGGAGATGGAGGAACATCCGGCTGGTCGGTTGAAAGGGAAAAATACAAGGCTTGTTGAAGCCTCCCCGCCTCCCCCTTTTCCTGAGAAGCAGGGAAGCGCACAGGGCTCCTCCACGCCATGTTTAGGGCGGACTCGCTCGGCCCCAGTGCAAACTTGCCCTCGTTCTGAAGTTCAGTGTCAGCCTCATTTCCCAATATCAGCGTTCACTCTTTTATCTTATTTCTCAAATGGTTCAGAACATAAGGAATGAAAGAGGTGCCGGTTGTCAGGTGCTGCCAAACCCCAATAAAAAGATAATAAAGCGACAGAATGAAAACCAGAGAAAGGTTATCGGCAGCGTTCTGTATGGCAAAGAGCGTGGCCCAATATCCTGCTGGCCTTGGGTCGTTCAGGCTCAAGGGCAGCTGCCAGCCTTTCTCAGCATGAAAGAACTCAGGAAATAAAGCACCCCTTGCCTCTTGAAAGTAGTGTGACAAAATCCTGCCAACTTAGAAATGATTCAAAAGAAAGAACACGGTAATGCAGAACCTCTGGCAGAATGACTGGGTCAGCTTCAAATCCATTTAAGCACAGAACTAGGAACAGCAACTAGGTGAAGGCTGGTTGCAGAACAGAATGCAAATGTTATACAACCTGTCAAAGTAAAAAATAGTCGAAACAGTAAAAATTGGGGAGCACGTGGAGGGGAGATGGGCGTGCACTTATTAAGAATTTCTAAAGCAGAGTCAACCTATGGCATCTAAAATCGAAACATGTCATTATTTAAAAAAAAAAAATGACTCTAACTCCTTAATGGTTTTTATATTCTCTCTCTCCTTTAAAGGGATCTTTTACGAACTAATATGTCTTGTGATGAATTAGCATTTATCTAAAGTCTAGTTATTTTTCCATTTTACTTTACTCTCTTACTTAACTGAAGATTAAATTTCATGCTTTTCATTTTACGTTAAAATAACAAATACGGTATGATCCTATTTCTGTAAAATTACTTTGTCTATCTTTCTATCCATCCATCACTCATCCATCTCATCTTTTATCTGAATATACACATAAAGAGAAACGTAGAATAAAGTTCATTAAATGCTAACTCTGCTTAATTCTAGGTGTTTAGATTAGTGTGGTATTTTGCTTTCTCTTTATACATGTTTCTTTTTTTAAAAAACAGAGTCAGATGGCATTCAGAGTTATTTTAGTGGGAACCTACTATGTGCTGGCACAATACTAGGTTTCAGGAATTGCAAAGACCTACACTTCTCAGCGACTTAATTCAGTATACGTCTAGTCACGGGGGTGCGTGTGCAGGGGCCGTGCTGGTGGCCAAGCCTCTAATGCTATTTAGGGCAAGCGGGGCAGGCCCATTCCCACCTGGGGTGGTGCTGTTGGTGCAGCTCCATAAAGAGGTTTCCAACTAGGGAGGCTTTGAGGAGGACCTCATTGCGGAGAGGGGCTGACTGGGGTCTGGCTCCCTTCCCCTGCTCATCTTCCAGGTGCTGGCATTGTCCTCTTCTCTTTTCAAGGACAGCCCTCCCTCTGGGGGAGCTCCTCCATGTTAGACTTCCAACACTGAGGACATCCCGATCTGTCTTTGGCTCCAAGCCTTTTCCCGGCTACCGATCCGCACAC